AAAGATGAACAAAAATGTATTAATAAAAATAAAAGCATTTGTTCCCTAAAATTTGAATTCAGTCAAAAGACTGCACTTGAGGACCTAGAAGGCCACATGTGACCTTAAGGCCACAGGTTCCCCATCCCTGGACTGGACTCGGCACTGTGCTTTAGCCTGACTTTTAGCTGCAACAATGTTAAAGGCAAATCACCTGCTACTTCCCAAGCAGGGCCTCGTATGATTGAGAAATGGCGGTAGGAGGGAGAAGTGAAAGAAAGATGGTCTTACAAAGGTAACGGAGATTAGCCGGCGCAGTTGGGGGAGTCTATACGGAAAGATGTTCCAATGAGCTTTAGATTCCACTTAACCAGGCAAGTTTTATCTTGTATGTTAAATATAAAATACAGTTTCCATGGAGCTTAGTACGGGGGGCCCTTTCCCTGAACACACTGAGTACTGAAGAGTTACAATCACATTGTAATTCTTTAGTCCATGCATCGAAATGGCAACCTGTGCTAACAAAAACCCAAACTAAATGCAGGGGATAAAATGGCTTTTTGGCCACTTTATCAGCTAAGAGCAGGAAAGCCAAGGGCCCAGGTGGTGAGGGGCCATGTGATCTGTCCCTTCTTTGCTAGCACCTGAGAGGCATTGAGCCAACATCTGTGGTTCGAATGTCCCGTAGGCAAGCAGCGGTGATGCTGGACCAAGCCTGCAGACCAGAGCCACCAAATGTCCCCCAGAGGAGCCTGCTTCAGCCTGGACCCCGTCCCCACCGCCTGTCACTGCGTCCTCAAAGAACGAGGAGGAGGAGGAGGAAGAAGGAGAGAAAATAATGGCAGAACTCCAGGTACGTGGATGCGGTGACTGACGGTGGCCCCCTGCCTTGCCACGGGGGACTCTGGCCACGGCGCTGGCAGGTTTGTTAGCCAGAGAGGGCAGTGCAGGGCCCTGTGGACCAGGCCATGGGGAGCTGCATCTCTGACGTTGGCCTCAGCGTGCCTGTGAGACACACGTATAGAATGACCATCTCGCAGTACAGCTCAGGAAAACTTACACAGACGGACACGCCTTCCCGTTTCTGCCTGTAGGATCCACTTTCCTTTCTTTCAGTCTTACTAGTCTGTGCTTCATCTCAGAAGCATTAAGATGGGGATGGAATACCGGCCATTGTCTTGTCTTGATAAGGACTGATGGAATCACGCCTTAGGTGGGTTCATGTTCTTCAGCTTTAACATTGAGAATGACTGACCTTGAATCTCGGACTCAGGGCCAGTGACCGGCCTCCTGTGGTTCATACCAGGTTCCTGTTCAATGTCAATGTCATCTTTTCACCTATTCCGTAAAGCTGAATCATTTTGTTTTCCGTTTTCCTTGGCCTGTTGGAGAAAAGATACTTCATTAGTTTTAGATGTTTATTTTTTAACTACTCGACACAGTCTACTCATAGGATTAAGGACCGTGTGCTGGGGACATACCCCACACTGGTCCCCTGTTCAGATCATGGGGGTGACTCTGCCCTACGTTCATGTTCTAAGAACTTGTCTAATCAGAGACATATACACAGTTCCTAGACCAAGGTCTGTCTGTAGAGTACAGTCGTCCCTCAGTACCTGTAGGGAGATTGGTCCAAGGACCTTTCTCAGATACGAAAATCCACAGATAACCAAGTCCCCAACATAAAACAGCACGTTGATCTATGCACATCCTCGTGTATACTTTAAATCATCTCTAGATTATTTATAATACCTAATACAGTGTAAACGCTACGTAAATAGTTGTTATACTCTATTGTCCAGAGAATAATGACAAGAAAAAAATGTCTGCATATGCCCAGTACAGACACAATGTCTTTTCTCGAATATTTTTCATCTGATGTTGGTTGAACCCACAGATGTGGAAGCCACAGATACAGAGAGCCTGCACCTACTGTATTTCATTTGACTCACACTTATCATAGGATTTTTCCACCAGTCAGATAGTCAGACCACAAGCACCTCAATGTCCCAAAACATGGTGCCTTTTCAACTGTGTACCAGTGGTTTTGTGCAGGCCCATGAATTTTCATTCTTCATTCAGAGTAGGAAGAAGTTTCAAACCACACGATTTTCACTGCCTTTGTCCTACTCTGGTTTCCATGGTAATATGTACCAAAACTGAGCAGCTTGGAGTTTACAGGGAAAACAGAGCTGCTGGCTGATTTGTCACCTGCGTGAGCTCTTTCCACCCTCACTGAGACTCTTGGCTGGCCTGGAACATCCCCTCGACGCATCATCAGACTGTTTACAGGTTTTTAGAATAGTTGGAGAGTTTTAGTCAAAGGAACCATAGATTTATAAAGTCAGTGACTTTTAGGCTTGTGAGTAATCCAGCTCTAGCCCTCTAAGAAAAGTAATGTATTTGTTGCAGCCACTTAGAGCCCACCACTCGAGGATATTTCCCTCCACTGAACTCTAAGTCTTTGATGCCCTCTTTGACCACTTTACAAAGGATGGAGTATCTGGCTTCTTGCAGTGTTACTGGTGGTTAGATGATAATAGGGGTGAATGAAGTACTCTAACCCTAATGTAACCAAACCCTCTTAGCCCTCCTGCTGGGATAAGGACCCAACCTGGTGGATCAGAGTCCATCCATGGCCAGTGGCCACGCTGGTTCCTCTGTCTCTACACACTCTGGAGTTAGAGGAAGGCAGGACGAGGAGCAGGTGCAGCCCCTTCTAAGAGTACTCATGGAACAACTTTATGTGCTCGGTGACACCAGGCATCAGATGAAAACACAGGCTCTGAAATCCAGGGCCTACCAGTCCAAAGGAGATCGTAAGCAGCCTTAGTAAATACAGTCCAAGTAAGCAGGTAAAACAAACACGGCCAGGGCAAGCTAGGACCAGCGTGTCTAAGGAACAGCAAGAGGCCAGGTGCAGCGGGGACAGAGGGAACAAGCAGAATCGTGGAAGAAAAGGCCAGAGACATCCCTAGTCATCGGCTACATTCAGATTTTAGCACCAGTGCTGAAACGTGCACTTAGAGGGGACATGCGTTATTCTTCCTGCCTGCAGGGTTATTTCCAAATGACAACACTGAACATAAGGAAAATACTAGGCAGTTATTCAAAATGATTGGTTTAAACTAGTAGGTTTTAATCCTGGCTGCACGTTAGAATTACTTGAGGAGTTGGGGGGAAAAAAATACTACAGCCCAGAGATGCTGATTTACTTTTTCTCAGAGTGGGGTCTGGGCAACAGTACTTTTATTTTAAATCGGGTAATATGTAGCCTGGTTGAGAACCACCCATGTCCATACACTTGGGTCCCTGGGGTATCTGTCTCTCCTGCTCTTGTGATCATATTATCTGGACGATTCATGGATGCCCCGTTCCCCGTCAGCCTGTGGACACAGTCTGTACTTCCTCTCTTTGGCTGAGAACTGGCCTCCTTAACACTCCTAACCATGATCGTCAGTTTTCAGAGAGAAACCTCTAGGGCTCAGGCAGTTCCTGGGCCCCTCAGAATCACACGGATGCCAAAAAGCATCACTTGATTCTAAATGAGCCTCAGGACACAGTAGCACCTGTTACTATTTCAGAGAATGGATTGATAAGGATTACTTTTACTCTAAGGTTTAAATGTTTAAAATGTCTTGTGAGCTTTCTTCGTATAATTTCAATAAAACTCTTAAAAAAAGAAAGAAGAAGAAAAAAGGAAAGATATCTTTTTGTTTTAATTCCTTTACATATTCAACATTTTTAAAAGGTCAAAGGAAGAAGCCTTACGAAGTACAAATCAGGTTCACCCCAGATAGGAAGAAAGAATGTTCCTAAATGTAAGGGATCTGTCCGTTTTCTCTTGGCATGGCCCAAGAAAGCAAGGAAGTCTTTGCCCTGGGCTCCGCAGCTAAGCCAGCTTCACCGACATGAGGCCAAATGGGGAGCAGGATTTCAGGGTGCTTCCCCGCTGCGAGCCTGCGTGTAGGGCTGGGGCTGGGGTCCCCATGCCTCTGCATTCCCTGCCTGTTTCCTTTTTTTGTCCTTGGTACACTCGGATCCCTGTTAACCTCAGTATTTTAATTCCTTAGGCATTCCAGAAGTGTTCCTTTATGGATGTAAATTCAAACAGTCACGCTGAGCAGTCCCGGGCTGACACTAGGCTGGGCACCACAGTGCCACCCAAGGAGAAGAAGGTAACGTGGCAATTACACATTTGCCACATGGCTGGACAGCCCCTTCCTTCCTTGCTCTGACACTAACACCGCTCTCCTGGCTTGAACTTCATGCCCTCTCTCTTTTTCTCTCTGTATTTTTTTAAACTAACGGAGACACAGGTTCAGGTTGAGATCAGAGATACCTGGCTCAGGTTGAACGCTGTGTTCCGGTGCACAGCATGCAATAGTACATGCAGAACTTAGACGATACATTCCCAAGCAAGAGTATTCACCTTTCAAGATTTTCTAGAACAGCGCTAGGAAAAAATAGAAACAGCGACCAAATATACAGCAGCTTTTCTAATTTTTACCATGTCTCCTGGACAAAAAAAAAAAAAAAATCTACGTTAAAAATAGGTAACCCTTAGATTGGGGGAAGAAAATGCATGGCAGAAAATACCTGCGGCCATACACAGGTGTGTCCTCCTGGAGACATGCAAGTGTGTATTTGCATATATGTCCAAGGATGCCAGTCAGAATTTTTGCAAAGTATTACCAGTGTTTAAAGTGTACCTTCCAAAATAGTTCAGTATAATTTTAATGCTAAAATATATTTGTAGCTTCAAAAAAAGATATGCAGTCTCTGAAACAAAGTCCACTGTGATCGCATTAGTACTTTAGGGGAAGGATGTTAGCCTGAATGTCTAAATTGCAGGGTGAGAAGCTTGTAACGATCAACTCAAGTCCTAACATTTCTCACCTGGAACTTCTATTTCAGCATTCAAAGACTCTAGTTTCCCATAAATAAAGTCAAACAGATCACCTGCAATATAACGGAGTAGCTACTCTGCGTGGGTCTCCATACAAGTAAGCTCAGTGAGGAAGATCTAGTATCACAAAGTCAGAGGGCTGTTCTAACACAGCCCTTCAGGAAACACAATTCTGGGCTGGCCGCCCCCAGCCAAGAGGCCCAGCCCGGGAGCCCGACCTGCCTCTCCCAGGCTCACAGCCATCATGGAGCCCTGTGTGAACTGTGTCTACCATGTAGCTGACATACGAATCCATCAACAGGGGGAGGAGAATCTCGCCATGTACCAGGGAAGAAGACTATTAGATTATTATTGATAAATCTTCCTCGTGAAGAAAACCTTCTACTAATTAGAACTGAACCCGTGAAATCACATCAGAAATTGCTTTTTCAATACGTGGAATTTCCTTATGTGGCCTTATTAAAACAAGCTCGTGGAAGCCTGGCATGGCGTGGCATGGCATGTTGTCTTGGGGCCAGTATGACCATTTCTGTCTAGGACACTGACTGTGAACTTGGAACTTCTTAAAGATCTTTCTAGAGACAATCATTGTCTCGTTGTAGAATTTTTCTAATTGGCTAGAAAATTACATGAGATTTCTTGCTGCAAAATTAGAAATTTATATCCCATTGATTTAATTATCTCAATCATGGGCCCATCAGCTAATAAGCACGTCTTTATTGAGTGCCCAGCGCTGCGTTTAATCACAGGTGCTTATTCCAGATAATTATATTCAGTAGCTCAACCTACTTCATAATAACCATGAATATCAGACTTACCCCAGACTTTTGTCACTATTAACCTCTTCCTGTGCTATTCATTTATCATTCCATAAATCAAATGTTTTCTTAAACATATTTCTCCTGTCCTCATGAAGCTCCAGCCTAATATGTGACTTTTATGCAATTTTCCCTGTAACTGTATCTCTCATTTTGGTTCATTGTCCAAATGCATACTGAGTGTGCTGCTCTGGTTGTCCAAACAACCCAAATCTCAGAGCCTATAAACAGATATTAAAGAGGCTTAATTACCTGTCATGCCGTCTTGACCGTCTAAGAAATCACTGTGAGTTTACTTGGCAGTTGTAACTAAGTTCGTGTATTTGCTTTGATACAGTCATTCTTTTTTTTCTAGCCCAGTGATAAAAAGGCATTATTGGTCATGTGAAACCTACGCTTGACATCTTTATCTTAGTGACCTTCCATGGTGGTATTCCTGCTACTGGATCAGTTTTAAAATACATTTATAAAAATACATTTATAAATATTGAAAATATTTAACAATTGAATGGCATGGGCCCTGACCGGCCAGGACAGATGCCAGCCATCACCCCCAATAAATGGGCCAGCGGAACATCAGTCACGTATGTGTCTAGGTCACATGCCAATTCCTTCTTCGATGTAGACAGTAAATTCGCACTTGGGTCCAACATGATATGCTAACTCCATGTTTGGAGTTGACACCTTAGGCTGAAACCTCATTTATTGTTGTTCTTTCAAACCTTTTACGCAATGTGTTAGTTGTTTTAAATTTTAAATTCCACAAAAGAAATGATGTGGTTCAGCTGCAGCGGCTGAATCATTATGCTTGTTTGCTGGGTTTATGGGGAGCGAGCAGAAGTTAAACAGGAGGTAGCTGGTGGCTAATGGACCTCCTACCTTGTGCAGTATTGCCATGTGATTAACCCTGACTTTGTTTGTGTGATACTCCCTGGGTGGGTGTGAACACTCTTTCCATTTCTAACCAGGGTAGCAGGATGAGCCTGGGTTGACTTGGGCTTGGCCTGGGTAACTGTGCTAATGTGGCCATCGTTTAACCAGGCAGCCTTCTCTGGGGTTGAGTTTCATCCTGCTGTCACCAATCCCTTCCTCCCCTTGGGCCTCTGCAGCAAGAAGAAGGGGCAGCACTGCCTTGAATCAACAGGCATCGCTAGTGTTAGTGTCATGGCAGGGCCCGAGTCTACCGATACCCCGTGCTGGAAAAGGCCACGCTCGCAGGCGAAGCGCTCTGAGTACCTGGGTCCTCCTGGTTGGGTCTTTCAACCCTGAATCTTGGTGAGACCCTCAGAGGCGTATCTTCATTCTGCCTCGGAAAATACAGAGAATTAAAGCTGAATCGTGATGTCACAGTCATTGTTTTAGCCTCACATATCTGCTTTGTAAATGTTTAGGTTATGGTCATATTGTGACAGCGTTATCACTGTGAATTTGGATTTGCTCAACTTGGCTATTATTAGTTTGAAGGTTATTTGGACACCTAACACTTGCTGTACAAACTGCAAGGACATTTTTGATATGTCATTTGACCAGGGGAAAATAATGTGTTTTTCATCCCAAAATACCATACCCAACAACCAATACAGATGTCCTTATAGGACAATTTACATAAAAGCAGAGAGAGGACTGAAATAACTAGCTGTAAGGGAGACTAAAAATCTCCTGGTCTAGTTCTCATTTATTTGATAAACAAGAAAACTGAGGCCCATAGAAGGGAAAGGTCTTACCTAAAGTAACAGTTAAGTGGCAGATCTGAATTACCATCAAAACCGTCTGCCGGCTCATACATTGTACTTTCTGGCTTTAGATTCTGCTAAGCTCACAATCAGATCTTGAAATGAGGACGTGTTGATACAGACTCTGTCCCTTTATTCTCTTAACTGCTCCCCCACAAAGTTTGACATACTTGACATATTTTGCTAATTGAGATTTTCATCTTGTGCAAACACAGGGCATTTTTGGAAGTTGGAGAACAAAGCAATCCAAGGTAAACAGAGCTATAGGCTTTGGATTGGTGTGTAACAAAGGTGCTTGGCCCGCATGTTTTGGAAATGTAATTAAAGGCACAATTTAGTTATAGTCCACTTTGGGGGGATGTGGTTTGTGGAGTAACATGTCCTACGCTATTCTACCAGAATTTGGAATTATTCCACGAAGATGTACGGAAATCTGATGTTGCATATGAAAATGGCCCCCAAATGGAATCCCGAAAGGTGAGTTCAACACATCTGCATTCCAGCTGATACCACGCAGATTAATTACCTTCCTCCACAGATCCATTTCTGATTACATGTGTGTGGTTTCCCTCCTCCATTCTCCCTCTCAGGTTACCGCAGGGGCTCTAAGACCTAGTGACCCTACTAAGTGGGAAAGAAGAATGGAAAATAGTATTTCTGATGCATCGAGAACATCAGAATATAACACTGACACCGTAATGAAGGAAAATTCCGTACCCAATATGAGTTTACTCAGAGACAGTAGAAACTATTCCCAGAAAAATGTGCCTAAGGTCAATTTCAGTTTCTCTGGCGTTAGTTCATTGGAAGATGAAATAAACAAAGGGCCTAAAGTCTCAGGACTGCAGTACCCCATACCCAGCCCTCAGAATCCGAAGTCGAATTATGGAAAGACCAAGGAGACGGAGCTGCAAGGACACGAAGATACGGGCAAGTGTCACGTTCCCTCTCCTGCTAGAGTAATGGAATTGAGTGCTCGTGATGTCAAAACACAAGATCAGGAGGTTCCGGTGACAGATTTGGGCCAAGTGGTTCTAAGACCCAAGGGGGCTAGGCATGCCAATGTGAACCCTAATGAGGACGGAGAATCAAGTCCAAGCTCTCCCACTGAAGAAAGCGCAGCCAGCGACAACATTGCCTTCATGATCACCAAGACGGCCGTCCAGGTCCTCTCCAGCGGGGAGGTCCATGACATCGTGAGCCAGAAGGGAGAAGACGTGCAGACAGTGAATATCGATGCCAAAAAGGAGAGGACCTCCCAGCAAGAAGGGACTGAAAACGAAGAGCCAGTCGTGTGCCTCGACAAGAAACCAGTGATCATCATTTTCGACGAGCCCATGGACATCCGGTCTGCGTATAAGAGACTCTCGACCATATTTGAGGAATGTGATGAGGAATTAGAGAGAATGATGACGGAGGACAAGATAGAGGAGGAAGAAGAGGAGGACAGTGGAGACACCGGAGTCCTGAGTAACACTTCCCAACTGTCTCCAAAGAAGGTGGCCTCGGACAGTCTTAGAACAGGACAGCAGGTGGAGACAAAATTACAGCCACACTTGCTGATGGCAGACCCCAAAAGCCCAGGAGGACAGGAAATGCATAAAACCGAGCCCGGCAAGTGGAGCCAGGCAGATTCTCCGAACTCAGACGGCAAGGGTGACGACCCGACCGATGACCAGTTTGAAAGCCCCAAGAAAAAGTTTAAATTCAAATTCCCTAAAAAGCAACTCGCTGCTCTCACTCAAGCCATTCGCACAGGAACCAAAACGGGGAAGAAGACGTTGCAGGTGGTGGTCTACGAAGAGGAGGAAGAGGATGGTACTTTGAAGCAGCACAAAGAGGCCAAGCGCTTTGAGATCACTAGGTCTCAACCCGACGACTCCCCGAAGGGCGTGGCCAGGAGACAGGAGCAGCCCATTCTCGAGGGCACAGCTCAGATCTCAAGAACTGATGAAATTAGAAAAAATACCTACAGAACGTTGGACAGCCTGGAGCAGACCATTAAACAGCTCGAGAACACCATCAGTGAAATGAGCCCCAAAGCCCTAGCTGAGACCTCATGTTCTTCCAACAGAGATTCTGTCGCAAACTCATCCCTCATGGCCCCAGAGGCCCCTCCCCGACCCTTGCTAGTTCCGGAGGAAGCCCCCACTCTCCTAGAGCCCCCCACGTCAGTACCTGCAGCTTCACGTAAGGTATCTTGGTCTGGTGGAAAAAATGCAAGGAGCAGCTGCTTTCTTAAATCTGCCATAATTACCATTAGCAAAGGTGTCTTGTGATTTAATCGCTTCCTTTGAGGTGGTGCGTGAAACCCTCCTCCCATCCTCTGTCCCTCACCTTCAAAACAACAACAACTTAGGTGCCTAACAGCTAATCGAGTCTGTTGTTGACCTCTGTTGCTGACTGGTGTTGGGTAAACGCAAGGATGCTGTGGAGATGATTGCTCTGACACTCACATTAAAATCCGTTTGATCAGTAGTGAGCAGTTTTATTCCGTTTGATTCTTCCGATTAACCCCCGTTGGTGTCTCCTAGATCTGTCCTGCATGTAGAGCTGTGGCTTCTCACCTCGAGCTTCTCTGCGCACAGTGGGGCAACCCCGGGGGTCACCCGCTCACGTGACTCTCCTTCTCTTCCCCTTGTCCCTGGTCCTTCCTGCAGGGCTCCAGCGGGACCCCGCAGACGAGCAGGATGCCCGTCCCCATGAGCGCCAAGAACAGACCCGGGAGCCTGGACAAAGCCAGCAAGCCGTCCAAACTGCAGGATCCGCGCCAATATCGTCAGGTAGTTTTACCTTAAACCCAATTTTGGATGGACGCTATCTCTGTTAAGAAGCAAGTCACTGACTTAGTTGATGCCAAATACGTGTTTTTCTTTGTAAGATACGGTTACGTAGACATCCCGGATCTTGGGGGCATGAAGAAAGTCCTAAAAACCTTTGTTAAACTTTTCACCACGCTTTTTGCATGCTCGCAATAAAACATCTTTTACTTTGTGACTCCAAATTTTAACTGTTAACACACGGTGCCAGGCCAGGTGACTTTTCTTTGGTGAATGTAGTGCTTTATCCGAACACCTTGGGAAAGAGAGACAAACCAACCTGTCATTGAACTGCCCTTAAAGCCACCAGTACTAACGTCTGTGTTGACTGCATCGCACTAGGGCACATTAACTCTTCGTCACAATGCGGGGGGCCCCCACCCCAGTAACCACCCAGGGGCACGGCCCACCTGGCACACGGGAAACGGTAGTTGGAATGACATGATTCTTCTCACAGACGCCTTCTTCCTTGTCGCCTGTTCTGTCCCTCCTTGGCTGTGTAGGTGGGGGGTTTCTACCAGGTCCAGGACAGCACAAGACTTAGCTCAGGCCTTGAACTGTTTTGTTGTTTTTCTTTTATGGAGTTATTCTCAGAAGGGCTGTGTTGCCAGGCCCTGTGGGTCGATCGTGTTGCCAGCTTTCTGACAAACTGTCTCCCGCCATCTTTGTTTGCAGGCTAATGGAAGTGCTAAGAAAGCTGGTGGGGAATATAAACCTACTTCCCCCTCCTTACCTGCTTCTAAGATTCCAGCCCTTTCTCCCAGCTCTGGGAAAAGCAGCTCTCTGCCCTCTTCTAGTGGTGACAGCTCTAACCTCCCTAATCCACCTGCTACTAAAACACCAATTCCTTCTAACCCTCTCAGCTCCCAAACAGGACGGCCCGCCCACTCTGCCTCCCTCATCCCTTCTGTTTCTAATGGCTCCTTAAAGTTTCAGAGCCCCACTCACACAGGGAAAGGTCACCATCTTTCATGCTCACTGCAGACTCAAAACGGCCGAGCAGTCCCTCCTTCCTCCTCCTCCTCCTCGCCCCCCTCCCCTGCCTCCCCCACCTCACTGAACCAGGGTGCCAAGGGCGTCAGAACCATCCATACTCCTAGCCTCACCAGCTACAAGGCACAGAACGGAAGTTCAAGCAAAGCCACCCCATCCACTGCAAAGGAAACCTCTTAAAGGCCAAATCCTATTAGGCACAAGTTGGAGTTACATTAAAAAACAAACAAACAAACAAAAAAAAACCAAACCTAACAGTCTGCAACAACTGTTTTCACAAGAGAATGTAACATATTGCTGTGTTGTTTGAGACTTAATGCTAAGTATGTGCTAAATACTGGATTAATAGATTTCAGTGAAGCTCATTTGTTTTGTTTTTTTACCTTGTTGCTGTTGTAACTAGTAGTGTTTACTGTCTGTATTCAATATCTAGTACAATGCAGTAAGCGTGTGTTACAAAAAGAGTGTGGTAAGAGAGACGGGTGTGTGGGAGACAGGAAAATTGTATTAAGCATGTAAAACATGTACGATTCCAGAATTTTAGTATGTTTTGTATAAAACTATTTTTCATTACGGAGACTAGAAGTGAACAGAGAAATACACAAGTGTGACTATACAAATTGTAAAACAGATACTATAATATTTCCTTTTATTTTAGTGTTATTTAGCTTTATTACAGATTTCTATTTTTGTCAAAAATTCATGGTTCCTTTCCAAATCTTTTTTGCCAAAACATTTTGATACTATAGCATTGTACATTTGAAAGTAGTGTGCTAGACTATAAGCCAATGAACCTCTACACAAGCCAACAGGGGGCGTATGTAGAAGGCAATTTATCAAATCTATTGCACTGCCATGAAAAGTATGTATAATAATTTGCTGGCCCAAGCAAGCTCGTTTTCTTTGCTTGCTTTTTTTCTTTCTTCCTTCCTTTCCTTCTTTTTTTTTTTTTTTTTTTTTTTTTTTTTTTTAACATATTGAGGTTCTCAAGTTGTTTTCTTTACAGTATCTAACCCCTTCTTTTGTTTTCTGAGACCTGGTAACCCATGTTATTGCATTGTGGATTTTAAAATGTACACTTCTGTACGGTTCTGTAAACTGATAAACTTTGTAAATATATAAATACAAATAGTCATTGAAATACTGTATGTGAGAGCACATAGAGTAGTTTTCCCACACCAAAGTTAATTTTTATGCATGCTTTAAAAGTATATATTAGGATGGGCAGATAGGGTACTGACTATCCATACATTTTTAAAAAGCCACAAGTTTGCACAGCTAGAGTGTTTTTGTAAATAAATGTATTTGTATAACACAGTCATGTAATATACAGAACTATAAGCAGAGACTTTGCAAAACTAAAAATAAAATAAAGGGCTGCATGCTTCTTATTTTTTTGTACCTTGTCACTATAACCACTTCCTAGTCAAAGAATAAAAATGTAACTGTTACCAAGTTCAATGTTTTTGGCTTCGAGGGATGTAACCACATCCACTCAGACAACGCTACTTTCCTGAAAGCTCTGGGGTGACTAATGATGAGTTGCTAATAAATTAATTGCAAGTGTGGTGCCTTGGATGTGACCCTGGTGACTGTCTTCTCTGTGGCTTCTCAAGGTCTGGCTCACAGAAAGCAAACCTGGGTACGGAGTTTGCACCCTCATTTACCAGAGGGGCTCTTACTTCTTTTCTGTTTCTTTTAAAAACATTTCCAGTAGACATATCGTGGAAATAAAATACCTTTATCACTGGGGCTTTTTTTTTTTTTGAGTCCTCAATTTTAAAAAATACTGTTGGTCGAGGGAAATACGCTAGCTAATATTACACTATAGGTGTTCATTTAAAAAGAATGGGAGGAAAGTTAGTGGAAATAATACCAAGATTGTGAATCAACTACAAGAACAGCCTCAGGAAACTGCTTATCATTCATTTTCACCTGCAAAATATTTAATTTGGTAGTTTGATGTAATAACGCAGATAATCTTACTACGTTAGAACCCAGTTGCTCATGTTAGCAAGCGTCTGGCTTACTGAGCTGGGATGGCTTTACTGGAAATATTTTATGGTGTCTCCACTCATTAATGTAGTCACATGTTTCAGATAGCACTTAGGAAAGTCTTTATTTAGATTCCAACATTGCAATCATACGTCATAATCTCAACACCGACATCACGTTCGTATATAATAGCTAAGTCGTGCCAATTTATTCGTTTCTGTTTATGGATAAGCTGAAAATTCCTTGTAAGCAGCTAACTAGCAGATCATGGCTCACTTTCTCAATTTAACTTCAGACTTCCCAGCGCTCTGGCAAGATCCTATAGGTAGTGGTAATTTCAGCCAACAAAATGAAGGACAGAACATGTTCGCCAGGTAAGGGAAAAATTAACATAGCTCTGTCCACTACCCTGACCAAGTTCTAGCAGAGTTCTGCCTGCCTCTTCAGGAAACCAGAGAAGAAACAAGCATAATTGGAGGAACCAAATCCAGGTGTGCATAGACCACCTATGACAACACTTACCAAAAAGGCGCCCCTCATAAATCTGTTGAATATAGTTGCTGCCCCGACACCCATTTTTAGGGCTGACATAAGTTGTTTGAAACCCAGCTGTATCCTGTCCTCTGTTGGCCTCATTAAAACTTGCCTTTCCTGTGTGGCTGTTTGCAGTATAGCTCACCTGTTCCTCATCTCGCTGACCCAAAACTCAACACGCCCACAACTGCTGACCATGATAAAATCTAATGGGCAACACCAGAGTCATGCAAATGTGGTCCGCCCCTTGGCACGTGTGCATGGGTTTTTCCAAACTAGCCAATCCCCAACCTCACAGGAGGGAACAATTTAGGGCTAGCACGCACGGACCTTAATAAAGGCGTGGACCCACGGGTTCTCTCTCGCTCGTTCCCATCGACCCTCCAGCAGCACCTCTGACCTCTCTGTGATCTGTAAGTAAGAAATTTCTTCTGTTTTTGTGCCGTTTGGTTTTACCTTGTCGTTGTGCTTCACTTGACCGACCCCTCCAACCTAACTACACCTCCACATGACCATATCAGGGCCCGCCTAGAGAGTGGCTGTCGTGGCTTATGGCCGCTCTCGACAGACCTCAAGACCAAATTAGAAAGAAACCGTAACAATGAAAATTACAGTCGTACCTCAGGTCCTTTAACAGCTACAGTGGACCATGTTAGGTAGGCTGAGCTGAGCTGCTAGATTTTCACATTTTGTTAAAGTACTATTATTAACAGAGTCTCACTTAAGACGGAGTCTCTCTTTTAAGTTCATCATTCAACTAGTAAATCACTGTGTCTGGAAAAGATTTTAGAAATAAACCATGTGGGCTTCTCAGATTCCTTCAATCAGTCAATCCACTTATCCAGCCTTCACTGGGCATCTTCTGCCCGTGGTGGGGGTGGGGGGTGTCGTGTGGCTGTAACATCAGTGCTGCTTTCTGGTTGTGCAACCTTGGGTGTGTTTTGGCAGTTTCACCTGTTAACGGAGGTTAGTAATGGAACCTCCCTCAGGATTGTTGGATTAAGTATGGTGTATACAAAATTCTTGAGACACGAGCCTAACATACTGAACATCCTATAAGGGTGAGGGAGGATTATTACTGCTGCAGTGGTGACTGAGACATTCTTCTGCCTTTGAGAGGCTCCCAGTTTAGCTGGGGGAAGAGTGGCCCAAACACCCAGGAGAACAAGTCCCAGCAGAGGCAGGTAGTGGAGCAAGAGCAGCCACACAGTTGGCTTCAGGAGTCCAGGGCAGGGTCTTGTCCAGTGCTTGATGGAGGCGGTGGCACCTGGCCCTTGCCGGTATAAGCAAGAACTTCTAATAGTATCACATTCAAGAAGGTGCTTTTCCTTTAATGGTGCTTGGGACTGGATTTCTTCCGAAGTAGAACACACTTTCACAGATGGACAAAAGCCAAGGCTCTGGGAATCCCATCTGCAGAATGGTCCTTTTGTGAAGCTGTATTCTCGGGCTTGAGAGAAGGTGTTCCCAAATGGTGCCCACACCTGGGCTTGAGTGCTCGAGGCAAGACCCATGAGGAAAAGGGGGACATATCCACTGGGACAGAGCACAGGTGTGGTCATTACCCCAAGGCCACATTCATAGACAAACCTGGGCCTCTTCCCAAATGCCCTACTCTGTTGTTCTAATTAACTTCCTCCGCTCTCCAAGGCTCTGTAAACGCAAAGGCATTTGAGAGCAACCAGCAAGTTTTTCCGAGGGAGTAGAACGAGTGCTCCCCCTAAAAATTCAAAAGGTAATTTTACAAAAATAACCAGGTGACGCTGTCCAGGAAAACACGCCACTGGCCACAGGCATTCATGCACTCCTTGATCTCCGCTCTTGAGGAGGTCGTGTCCAAAGGAATAACGTGATGCCAAGAGCACATCTGAGAGAACCCCAGGCCCTGCCAGGGTGCATGTCCAGATCTGGCGCCCACCTTAGAAGCAAACACCCAGCTGACCCAGAAGCAGGAAGGTTAAGTTACGCTGAACACGCTCTGCCAGGAAGGCAGGGGAGCTTGCAGTGCATACATTAGATCTACACAAGATGCTTAATTTTTAATTGTCTTGCATTTATGGGGTGCTCCTTAATCCTGTGTTTGTGAACACACCAGCAACAACTGCCATCTGTTGCCTATCGTGGGCCAGGTATAATGCTAAGGTGTTTTGCATCTTTTGCTTTTTAATCCTCACAAAAACGCTGAGAAAGTTACTGTTGTCGTCCCTGCCCGGCTCACTGCGGACAACCCTGAGGCTGCAGGACGCACTTCCGGGACGGACAAGTGGGCGGGCCGTTCTGCGTGGCGGGGGGTGGGGGGAGCGCTGCTTAGGTTGCCACTTGAAAGACAGTGGCGGCGTTAACAGGCGGTTTTTCACTCCTGGATCAAACGGACAGCGTGACGCAGAAACGCACCCATTCACGGGATTATTGGATTGCAAATTCGCTGCCACCCTACAAAAGGTGGGTGGGTAGAGAGGCGCTCTGCTCGGAGGGCCACATTCTCATCCAGTATTACCGT